TATTCTGTTTAGCAAGAGAAGATTCATATCTAATAGTATGGTTCCATTTCACCTAATTGAGTATAAATCTTTAGCCTGAAAAAGATAATGACAAATCTAAAGACCCTTGGGTTTTGTTTTTTTTTCTTGCTCTCTCTAATACTGAACTCACAAATCATGTAGACTGTAAATGCAGGTGAAAAGTGAAACAAGGAAAAGAGATGGGCAAAGATAGAAGTGTGGTGTGATTATCTACATCATTTGTAAAGTAAGGCCTTTTAAGGCAACAAAGCAGAAAGCATACCATTCACAGTGATTAAGAGTATTCTAGGCCAGGAATGCTAGCACATATTTAATTATTAGTTGCTCGGGAGGTAGGGGTAGGAAGATCTTGACCCAAGGTCAAGCAAAAGCATAAGACTCTTACTGGAGAAACAAACTGAGAGCAAAAGGGTTGTCTTGAGTGCTCCAGTGCTTGCCTGGGAAGTGTAAGCTGTGAGTTCAACCCCTAACACTGCTCAAACGAAAAGAAGAAAAAAGTGTGAGGATTCTAGAATCCTTCAATTTACATTTCTGAGTCAGATGACCTGACCTAGATTTCTGACTCATGTCATCTGTTAGACCTGTTAGACCTTTATCTGCAAAATAGGCTAACAACATATCTTTCTTTTAATGTGCCATGGTGATTATGGAGATAGAAAAGGTCAAATGCTGAGCATAGTGCTGGACACTACTGTGAAAAGATAGTAGGGCTTCCTATCATCTTCTGATTAAAGAGGCTAATGGAAAGGATAGGAAAACCAGAGCTTGCAATCACAGCGGGATTGTGGTTAATCCAGACACAGGCATTTCTACTAGGCTGATGCTTTCTAACGTTTAGTTAGAAAGTACAGAAACAGATTATAAAAGGAAAAATTGATGGAGGCTTTAAAAATTTGCAAAGTGGCCAGGCACCAGTAGCTTATGTTTGTAATCCTACCTACTCAGGAGGCTGAGACCTGAGGGTTATCGTTAAAAGCCGGCTTGGGCAGGAAAGTATGTGAAACTCTTATCTCGAATTGACCACCAAAGAAGCAAGAAAGAAGGAAAGGAAGAAAGAAAGAAGGAAAGAAAGAAAGAAAGAGGAAGGAAGGGAGAGAGAGACAGAGACAGAGGGGTGGGGTGGAGGGAGGAAGAGAAACAAGCAAGCAAGCAAGCCCAAAAAGCTGAAAGTGGAGCTTTGGTTGAACTGGTAGAGCACGAGCCTTGAGCAAAAAGCCCAGGGACAGGGCCCAGGCTCTGAGTTCAAACCCCAGGACTAGTCCAGAAAGAAAAAAAATTGCAAAGCAACCAATCTATATGAGAAGGAATTCATCCACATGCAAGTGCTCACATGTGTTTGAAATGATCTATGTTAGCTCTAAAGAAGCTGAATTTTAAGATGTGATTTTAATCTGAATTTGAAAAATTGGATCCTTAAACCTATGTTAGAAAACTCAATACCTGACACAACACCACACCAAAAGTTCATTTTCCTGCAGTATCTGTTTATATTTGCCAGCGTGGTGCCTCCATTTTCCAACACCACACCCTTTCCACTGGGCTGCCTGTACTGGCGATTCTGTAACCTACTGAGGTTACAGAATCCTCTTCTCATGGATGCCAGAAGTGCCCGACTTTAACAATAAGCAGAAGTTTGCTCTGGAAAACTGTGTGGTTCTCTATCTGGGGCAGGTTCCCCCACACCCTCACCCCCACCCCCACCCCAGGGGACAGTCCCAGTGTCTGGCTGTGACACCAGGGCATGGAGGAGGTAATATCTACTGATCATCAACCAAAAATGCTGATAAAGATCCTACTGTGGGGAGGATAATCCCCCTGACATAGAACTATTTAACTCATCAGGTCACCAGTGCCAACATGGCCAATTTTTGCCTGTGTGTCTTCTTTTTCCTTTTGGAGTTGGCTCCTAGTCACTCTCTTTGGAGTGATGTGCATGGTCCCCCAGCCCTGACATCCTACCTGGTTGATTTTGTTTGATTTAGTTTTTGCTGACCCCTGAGAACTCTAGTCCTAAAATTAATGAATAAGGAGTGGCTCAGAAGACTTCCCTTTTGTCTAAGAGGCCTAGAGACCACAGGAGATAGCATCTTTTGGCCTCAGCAGGAGTGGTTCATCCTCAATCTCTCAGTCTGTCACCCTTGGAGGAGGGGAGGGACAGCTCTAAAGAGAACCATCCATCCTGAGTGAGCACTGATTTCTCATTTAAGTTGTCTTACAGAGCATCTCCTGTTATTCCAAACCAGTTTGGTTTGAAGATTATCACCATGTTGACACAAGCATCCTCTGTGAAACTGACAAGCCCACACACCTTCTCTGAAGGAATCTGTTTCTCATTGATTATCTGAGAACCCAGGCGAAGCTTAATAAATACACTTTGTGGAGGATTCCCTGGCATGGGCTTATCGGAACAAAGGCCACTAATATTCTACCCCATGAGAAATCCTATCAAAGAAATGCATAACTTGATTAAAGCAATTAAGAGAAAACATCGCAAATAGACCAACAAATGCCACCAACGTGGATGAAAGAAACTCTTGTCTGGTGATCTCAACCATGCACTGACAAAGTCTAGTGAGTGACAACTTTTCAAAGGTCAGTTCAGAACAAGTAATCTTTATGGACATCAAGGCAATTCTTTCACTCCAATGAAGCAGTTCAATAGTGAAGGTCATCGGTCTTTAGCAGGCACATCATCAAGGAGAGAAGTAAAAGCAATTAGACAAAATGGATGCTGTAATCCCACTTTCCAGGCTGCAAGAGCCAGGACATTGGACAACACACAGTTCTTATTCTCTGGCTTGGCTGCTGAGAATCTGGCAGCAGATCCCAAATGAGAATTCCATCACTTGCTTTCACTCTCACCAATGCTGACTTCGTGTTTCTTAGGAAAGTCTAGAACCTTAGGAGGTTAAAAAATAAAATAAAAAAAAGGTTGACCCAATACATGCTATGAGCTTTCCACTGAGGTCGGAATCCTGAAAGTATTCTTTCAATGCTCCCAAGTGTTTGCTGAATCCACAGCCTGGGCTGGCTGTGCTGCTTCAAGAACGACCCTAGAAGAGAATCTGGATGGGCAGGATTTAAAACCCAGTGGCACTCTGCCGATGGTGATGGGCCCACAGTCTGAGCCTCTCTGGGAGGTTCTCCCAGTGTGGCTCTACTCTAAAATCAAGGGATGAGATGAGAGTCTGTGGCCATAGGAAAATCCGTGAAACGTTGAGGTACAGTACCCCACAGGACATCTCCTTCTGCCTCTGTTTCTCCCTCCCTCTCTGCTTTTTCCCCAATAACAAGATGGAGATAAGAATAAAAGCAGTATACCTAGGAAAAACCAACTAGGCAGAAATGGCCCTCAACGGGGTCAGGGATTCATATATATATAATATATATAAAATATATAATGTATACATGTAATATATATACATATTATGCATATTATGTAACATTATATAATATATAATACATATTATACAGTGCACATATAATATATACATTATGTAACATATATAATATATACATTATATTTTATACATATATATAATGTGTATATTATATATATTGCTTTACACTGCACTGATTTTTCTAAGAGGCAGATTGAGAAGTGCCAGCCCCAAAGCGCGCCACACACTGCAGTGCAGACTCTTCAGAGGTGTTAGCTGTAGTGGACAGAGCCAGCAGCTGGCCTCTCCCACCCGGACAGCTGGCGGGCCGCTCGGGCCTCCCTGCACGCCGCCCTGCGCGCCGGCCCAACGCCGGGGCCCCAGCCTGAGTTTCAGCTGGAGCGCGAGCCGCGCGGGGAACTTTCCCTGGAAGGAAAGAACTCCGGGCCGTAAGTACTGCAATAGCGCGACCCGCATCATTTTCGCGCAGGGCCATCATCAGCCACCGAAGGGAGAGGAAAGGGGGGGGGAGGAAAAAGGGAAAGGGGGTCTGGGATGGGGGTGGGGGCCGATCTGTCGTGGAAGGGGCTCCCGGGAAACTCGTTTGGGAGGAAGTGACCGCTTCAGCTCCAAACTCGGGGTGAGGGGGGAGGGAGGAATGACACGTTCTGGAGCGAAGACTCCAAGAGAGTGTCTGGACCATCCCCCTGGATCGAGGGCTGGCTGTCGGACACGAAATGCCAGCCCCGACCCGCCCGCTTCTGGGTCTGCCCTGGCCTTCCCGGCCTCGCCCCTCGGGCAGAGGGGGGAGGTCGGGAGGCGGCCGGGGCCGGATGTGCGTGCGCTCGCGCTCCCGCACATACGGCCGGAGGAGTCCTGTTCGCGGGGCATTTTCCGAGGAAGTCTGGAGCAATTAGGCTCAGTCCGGGAGAGAGCGAGCGAGCGGGCGGGCGAGCAGCGCGAGCCGAGCAGCCGGCGTGTCTGGGCCGCCTCGCAGGGAGGGGGGGGGTGGCGGCCGGCCGCCCGGAGGCGACCCCGGGCCCGCCCCGGCCGCCACCATGGGCTTCGAGCTGGACCGCTTCGATGGCGACGTGGACCCGGACCTGAAGTGCGCGCTGTGCCACAAGGTCCTGGAGGACCCGCTGACCACCCCGTGCGGCCACGTCTTCTGTGCCGGCTGCGTGCTGCCCTGGGTGGTGCAAGAGGGCAGCTGCCCGGCGCGCTGCCGCGGTCGCCTGTCGGCCAAGGAGCTCAACCACGTCCTGCCCCTCAAGCGCCTGATCCTCAAGCTGGATATCAAGTGCGCGCACGCGGCGCGCGGCTGCGGCCGGGTGGTCAAGCTGCAGGAGCTGCCCGAGCACCTGGAGCGCTGCGACTTCGCGCCCGCGCGCTGCCGCCA